ATACTCTTATAATTAGTTAAAATAAGGTTACTTTCCCTCTCTTGCTCTTTTCCCCTTCATTTTTCTTTGAATAAAAAACGCTATATATTAGAATATATGTTAGAAAAAATTTTAATATACTAGAGTATGTAATTGATAATTTAAATAATTTATTAATCAAACAAAACTACTAAAAAAATTACTTCACACCTAAAAATTCAAACACCGATCAAATGTAAGCCTACCATTTTTGAATTGGGTCTGGAGCTAGTGTGAATTAGCATACACCCAACGTTTAAATAATTTAATGACACTTTAAGGTGTAAAGATGTTAAGATTACTATTTATAATTTAAATTATATTAAATTGTAGAAATTGAATAATTAAATAAAAAATTATTTTTAATATAAAAAAACTTACCTTTTATTTAACAAATTTATTATATAGTCCAATATAATTTGAATGATAAATTTTTTCATATATCAATCACAAGAAAATAATAAAGAATATCTTAGAAGTTCGGCGTTATCTTCGAACTTCATTAAATATCTTGCAAAGGAAAATGAACTTATATGATGTAGAATCCAAGGGATTTATGAAGTAATTTTAATTAAATTAAAAAAACTTCGAGTCACAGCAATAAACACGTGCATCGCATTCATATTAGGTTTAAAGCCAATGGTCGTCCCTCTACTTTCATATTTTATTCGTTCTTGTCCCTCTACTAAGGATTTGTTCGTTGTCGTCCCTCTACTCTACTAAAGAGCCAAACGTCGTCCCTCTACTCCTCTTTTTTGGTTCATTGTCATCCCTTCCCTGACGCCGTTCATGTTGCCATCACTGTTGACCGTTAAATCCTAAACGATCAGCAGTTAAACTGTTCTATTTTTTTCACATGTGCTGCCACCTGTGCAACAATGGGAACAACTTTGCCCACTTTGCCTCCCTGTTTACTCATACCCCATACTTTCAATTTTTTTTTTTTGGTTGCAGAGATGAGTTTTCGCAGATCTGGAGGATTGCTCACCTGAGAATGTTAAGACTGAGGGTCCGACAGCAACAGCCCCGGCAGTTGTGATGTTGGCGGTGGAAGAGGGCGATGAGGAGGTGGTAGCAGTGGTGGCGTTGAAACATTTCTGGCACATATTATTGGTAGCGAGATTACTGGTGAGACCACAGTTGTTGATGCAGAGAGCTAAGGTTTTCGGCACCTTGAACTCGTCTCTTCTTTCTCGGTTCTCTAAGCCATGTCTCTCTAATTCGTGAGTTGCAAAAGAGAGGCGTTGCGATGGGATTTTGTTAATTTGGAGAGAGAGAGAGGGAGGGGATGGGGTTTTGGTTGGGTTGTTTTTGGCAATGGCAACAATGGTGAACAAAAATGTGGAGAATAGGGTTGTAATTGCCAGCATGCGATAGTAATTGTCAAGATGACTTTTGCTAATGTCATTGCCACTGTCAACTCAGCTGCTTGGAGAAGCTATTGTGAGTATCATACTGAGGAAGTTCCCTATAGTATCCACAATTCCGCACACTGCTTGTACCTGTAAGTCATTGTCTATATGGTCATGGAGAAATTCTTCTAACCCTTCTTCCAGTATTCCTTTCATCATTCCCCACAGAAGAAACTGGAGCAGAAGCCATAACATGCTGGCAGAATTATAATTGGAATCCAATCTGTGAGCAGCAAGAGAAGCTACTATGCAACACAAAGAGGAAAAAGGCATACCAATGCTGATTCTGAGGACCCTAGCCCACCGTTGTTTTTTTCTATCATGGTATTGTTCGATTAGACAATGGCAAACCTGCTCGGTTATTTTGTAGACAAGCTCCAGAGAAAAAAAAAGGAAAACGGATTTAGGAATCTTGAAGCTCTGGGTATTGTTCTCTAGATAATCAACTTGTTCCATGAAGAAAGACTCAGCTATATATTGCATTAACCAGATAACATGTAGATGCGAATGTTTGCCATAAAGGTAATAGTTTGAGAAACACTTTTGCTGCTTTCTTTACCTCTGGAAATAAGGCAACTGGAATTTGCTTTCCACATTTCCATCAATTTTCTCTTCACCCTTTTTATCTTTTTTATCTTTTTTCTCCGTTTCACCAGTTTTGTTTTCATCCGCTATATCATTTTCCATTTCACCAAGGTCGTAACATTGAGCCCCCATCCAGAAGAACAATTTATAACTAATCACCGTCAATGCTGTTGAAATCTTGATGAAAACTTCGGTAGAAAACACTACTGCAAGCACTGTACCCAAGATTGTCCTTGGAAGTTTAGTAGCAAATAACTTTCAGAAAACTGTTTTAAAGTACAAATTAATTAAATGCTATTGAAAAAATAATATAAAAATAAATTTAAAAATATTTAAGTAATTTTATAAAATGAACCGCAAACAGTTCACCTGTAAAACAATTTTCTCATAACTTTTTTCTCTATATATTGCTCATTTTCCTCGCATTTTCCTACTATAGCTATATTGACACAGAATCCATCTCTTCCTCTGTAGTCCTGGGGACCCTTCTTCATCGGCTTTTGTTTCCGATCTTTTACTGATGAGTTCCCGCTGTTCTCTTTCTCTGTGCAACTTGACTCCAGACAGCAACATGTGCGTAATCCTTCTCGGGCTCCCTCTTTCAGTATCGGACACATATGTGGTCTCCAATTGTATTGTTCCCCCAAAAAAAGGCTTACATAACTTTCTCTTGTAGTTGCAGCTGGTGCTATGCACCCAATTAACTGATTGTCCGGATGACAATATATATGTACATCTTGGTTTGGTTCCGCAAATTTGTTTTGAACATGGAGATGGAGGTGGTGCTGGATCCACTTCTGGCCTTCGCCATGACTTTTGCTCGGTCTTTTTAAGCTCATTTCCGTAAACATAACTAGTAGATTTTTCTCCTGCATAACCCGCTTTCAGCGTTAATAGTTGTAAACCAAGAAGAGACCGACGGGAGCTTTTCTTGGATGGACTAAACCATAATAGCTGAGAACCCTGCAATAAGAATTGACAATCAATTTCCCATTAAAAAAAAAACAGAAGAATTAACAATAAATTAATTATCGGATTTCTTTAATATTAGTAATTTGCTACTTTTTGTTCTATTTTGAGGTCTCAATTTTGAGGGTGTTTTATATTTTGAGATCTACATTTGTACCAAAAAAAAATACTATTTCTTTAGTTTTAAAATATGAAAATAAAAAAAATTAAGGCATTTTGATATTAAAAATATCAAAAACATTTAGTTATAACCATTGAAACATAGTGTAAAATTTAATTTTTCAAATTTATTACATAATTATTATTTTCTTTTTTCCTTTAACTTTAAAAGGCTCTAGTTGATGGCTTTCTTGAAAAAAAAAGAAGAAAGTATAGCATCTCCGCAAAAAAAAAAAGAAAGTATGGGGTGTGAGTAAGCAAGGAGGGTCCTCATTGTTGCACAGGTGGCAGCACGTGTGAAAAAAATATAGAATAAATGGGTTTAACAGTTGATCGTTTAGAACTTAACGGTCAGTAGTGACGGCAACATGAACGGTGTCAAGGAAGGGACGACAATGAACCAAAAAAGAGGAGTTGAGGGACGACGGAGAGGGACAAGAACGAATAAAATATGAAAGTAGAGGGACGACAGTTGTCTTTAAACCTTCATATTACAAACAAACTTCTTTGCAGTACGTGGTAATTTTTTTGAACAGTATTACATGGGGTGGGTTTTGAACCCTGCCCGGAAGGGGGGAATGCATCTTATGTGGTGAAAAGACCACTTGACCCTAAGGGCCAGATGTGCAGTACGTGGTAATTGTTATAGCTACAGCCAAAATATTTAAAGAAACTATATAG